CCCGGCCATCTCGCTGGCCTACGAGGCGGCCGAGAGCGACATCATGAAGCGGCAGCCGCGCAACCCGCGCTCCGACAAGCTGGTCAACGAGCGCCTCATCAGCATGGCCTACGGGCAGATCGGTGAGGCTCCCCCGCGGGGGGCACCGCGGGCACCAAGGGGTGTCCCCCGCGCGGCCCCAGGGCCACCCCGTGGCTCCCCGGGGCGCGCTGGGGAGAGCAGGGCACCCCGGGGAGGCCAAGGGCACCTCGAGCACCACCGGTGAAAACAGGACACTTGGGCACCCACTGGTGACACCAGGGCACCCACCTGGGCACCAGCACGCCGACGCGGGGCACGCTGTGACAGTGGCCAAGTGGCACTTAAAGACACAATAGCAATACCAGGACAGCCCCCGGGCACCCACTTGYGACACTTGAGCACCCATGCATGAACTCAGGGTCCCCTCGGCTGGCACTGGGGTCCCACGTGACATCAGGGCGCCCACTAGTGACTCCAGGACACTTGTGGCACCCGGCTCCAGGGTGCCCCATCCCGGGCTGAGGTGCTTGGTGCCCGCAGGGATGATCCAGGCGCTGGGCGGCTTCTTCACCTACTTCGTGATCCTGGCGGAGAACGGCTTCCTGCCCTCCACGCTGGTGGGCATCCGCCTGGCCTGGGACGACCGCTCCACCAACGACCTGGAGGACTCCTACGGGCAGGAGTGGGTGAGCGCCCTGCCCGCGCGCGGGGCCGGGCCCGCTGAGCTGCCCCGTGCCCAGCCGCGACAGGCCATGCCAAGACCATGCTGAGTCATTCCATGCCATGCCAAGTCATGCCAGGCCATGCCAAGGCCATGCTGTGCCATGCTGAGTCATTCCAACTCATGCCAAGTCATGCCGGGCCAAGCCAAGGCCATGCTGTGCCGTGCTGAGTCATTCCATGCCATGCCAAGTCATGCTATGTCATGCCGGGCCATGCCAAGGTCATGCTGTGACATGCCAAGAAGGTCATATCATGCCATGCCAAGGTGTGCTGAGCCGTTCTGAGTCATGCCATGTCACACCAAGTCATGCCATGCCATGGAAAGGCATGCTGGGCCACACCAAGTCATGCTGTGCCATGCCATGCTTAGTCATGCGGTGCCATGCCAAGTCATGCCGTGCCRCGCTGAGGGCGCCGCGTGTCCCGCAGACCTACGAGCAGCGCAAGGTGGTGGAGTTCACGTGCCACACGGCCTTCTTCGYCAGCATCGTCGTGGTGCAGTGGGCCGACCTCATCATCTGCAAGACCCGCCGCAACTCCGTCTTCCAGCAGGGCATGAAGTGAG